TTATTTAAAAAGTACATGCACCATGAGCGAGCTGACTGTGGCAAGATGGCCGCCAGGTGCGGACGTCGACCTCCATTGGCCAGCAGCGCGGACGAGACATCTAGCCTTTATTGACACTAGCTAACGACTCAAATGTAGCCATTAGCCACAACTTCATTTAGCAGTTGAACAGCTCAGTTCTGCTTAGCTAATGGTTCAATTCAGTTCACCCTAAACACTTTGACAGAGGTTAGCTAATATTTAGCTTAATTCCTCTTTCACAAGATTGTGGTGATTTGGAGCTAAACAGCTAGTTAATGGTTCAGTTTAACAGCTAAAACGGCTTTGTTCAAGTTGACAAACAAGTCCGTTATAGAGCTTCTCTCTGTTTTAGCCAACTTTTCAGTTTAATCTGGTTTTGTTCAAATTACCTTCAGGTCTTTTGAGTTGGTGGAATTGATGTTTCTCTCCCAGCAGAAAACTTCATGAGTCATGAGTAATCGTGTTATTTTACAGAAACATTCAAGTAGACTCTTGGGGAATGTACATATTACATCTTCACACTGGCTGACAGCTCAAATCAGCTTATCAAGCTCTGTGTTACCATCAACAATCCCTTTTCATCCCCCTTACTAACACCAACAACAGTACAATCACATACCACAACAATGTCCTCCAGGAAAATCTACACTTCAAATATGTAATCAAGAAAAGTAGCAAAAGAATCACAACCAGAAGAAAATACAAAAACGGAACAACACAAGAACGCAAGGAAACCTCTAGAAACAATTTAAAATATCTGGTTTCTTAATAAAAGTGCTTTTGCAGGCCACAGACCTCTCAGAATTAGCGCGATAAGGAGAAATATCTGAATAATTCAACGAAACATTGACATTTTGGAAAAGCCTAGCGATTGTCATCATATCCAGACATTAACCAAAATTGCTATCAAATTAAAGCATGGGAAAGGGGAACTACTAGCCTAGCTCCATCAAAAGTGGCAATGATTTTCCAAAATAGCGCACAGTTCTTTTAAACATTATATCTCAGTGCTTGAATTTAGTTACCTTACTTCAAAAGTCAATTTTATTAGATATTCTCCTTTTCCAGGCTCCGGCTATCTAAAATGTATGGATAGTGTTGTCATTCTTTAACCAGCAGTTCATTAATGTTGGAAAGCAGAGTTTTCTGTTTCACTGCAGAGTGAACAGGTCAGCAGCCAGCTGGATGAATGTGATTCCATAATATTCAGGTATCGTTTGGTATACTTGTAGATTTGGTTTTATGGGTTGAAAGATAATCTCCAAATCCATTTGGAGTAAATCTTTGCAAAAAAGTTACATTTTGACATTTGTAACATTTTCCATTCTCTGTTTAACATATTTTAACTGTTGGCTAACCCCGTTAGTGACTGTTGCTGCCTTTGTCAGTCTTTATGTACTTCTACTTTCAGTTTACAGTGATATCAGTTGGCAGACTTACCACCAAAATTCACATTCATTGAATTGTCTTTCTTTTTTTTCTTGTGTGTTTTATATATTTTATGCACAATGCACCAAGACAAATTCCTCGTATGTGTAAAAACCTACATGGCAATAAAACAGATTCTGATTCTGATTTTAAAATGCGGGAGAGCAAATTTGATCACCTATAGCTAGGTAGATCATTTATGGTAACTCCATGAATTGGTTCAAAACAAGGTGTTTTTTAATGTTTGAAACTTCTTGTTTGAAACAAGAGCCATGTAAAAACATCTTCATATGCACTTGCTGCCTCCATATGATGCTAGAAGACTGAAGCTAAAGCTAACATCCGGTGCCGGGGAAAACTCCATGTAAAAGACATGGAAATAAACACCATTGTTTTTTATTGCAGTGTAGCACTTGCTACTCCTTAGCAGAAGTATGAAGTGGAAAAAATGTTGAATCAGATTGCTTACATATACGAACAAGGTAGACACAGTATATATTTATGCATTGTTGTTCGTATATTTAACCAGTATGTTTCACAAAAGAATTGGCTTTAAGATGAAGACTATGCAGTGTTTTTGTTAAATATAAGACTATCATGGATTACGAATTTGCTGGGTTTGCTGGAGTGGAAACATCACCAAAGCTAATAGCAAAGGACAGAGCCACTAACGTTATTGTAACGCTAACTAAATGCCCCTAGCCTTGGTAGTGACAGTGGGTTACTACTACTAATTTAACATGCTATGCATTGCAGCTTAGATCAGATAAATACTTGTTCATTCCTTCCTTACACTTTGCTCTTATATTTTCAATTTTGGAGAGCGGGTTAGCAGACGGTCAATTGGATGGCCTTTGGTTTTCCAATTGAAACTTGGGTTTTTTTATATAGTAATCTTAGTTTACTCATAGAGAACCAGAAAAAACTTTAATCTGTTGCATGACTCTGCAGAGGACTGGGCTGGAAAAACACAGATAAATAAATCATTAGCAACAGACGACAATAACACAGACAGGGTTTTTAGAAAATTTGCATAAAGCGCTGAAGAAAATGTCCATCTGAAACACAACAAAACATTTGCTAAAGGGCTCAGGCACCTTTACCTGTCTCAGAGGAACTAGCCTGAAGAGAAAAATACAACAATAAGAGATGTTATTAAACCCTATGTCTATTTGTATTTATCTAATCAGGGACAAGAAATAAGGTACAGGAAAATCTTCTTTGGGTTAAAAAAGAAACAGATGCTGGTTTGGCTTCAGTACTATAAGGAACAATTCAAAGTGAAAGGTCCTGCACAGGGATTACACAGACACACAGGTGTTATCATTTCATTTGCGTGATTAGGGCTCGTCTCAGGACAGCGCAGGCATTCTTATATGGAGACTTTGTACTACACTACCTATTCATGAATATCACCTGACGTCACTCACATTCTA